AGCTGTTTTTTTGTTGCAGTTTGGCCAGGTCCGGGTTTGAACAACTGCCACCCTCGGTATATGGGGCTGGCGCCCTACCCACTGAGCCATAGGCGCCACCCTGAAAATTAGTTTTTAAATTGAGCCATAACATATAAAATTTTATGGTAACATGCAACATCTGACTATGTTCAGGTATGGTTTTCATACCCCCACCAATTGGCTCATAATAATCAGGAATGCATCCTCTGTGTGGTGTTTTCCAGTTAATGCTGTTTTGGAAATCACATTAGTATATGCAGTAGCTTTCTTGGGTACATGTGGTTCATTATCGATTATGTTATTTTAGACTTTTAGTTTAAGGGAGTAAAGTAAACCCTTTTAAATTCTTAGTTGTTAAGAGTTTTGAAGGATGATAGGGATGAATGAATAAGGAGCAGCATTAGAGTAAGTAAGGAAACTCATAATAATATAGCAACTACATATCACAGAAGTAACACAGAATCTTATGTAAAATGGAAAAGATAAATCATGTACAAAACGAATACCTTAAAAGCTTACAAGGGGGTGGTGGTGCCTGTGGCTGAAAGGAGTAGGACGCCGGCCCCATATACTGGAGGTGGGGGGTTCAAACCCGGCTTCGGCCAAAAAACTGCAGAAGATAAATAAATAAATAACTTACAAAGAGGGCAGCGTCTGTGACTCAGTGGGTAGGGCACCAGCCCCATATACCGAGGGTGGCGGGTTTGGGAGGCTAAGGCAAGAGAATTGCCTAAGCCTAGGAGTTGGAGATTGCTATGAGCTGTGATGCCACAGTGCTCTACCAAGGGCGACAAAGTGAGACTCTGTCTTAAATAAATAAACTTATGAAGGAACATTCAAAATACAAATAAATATGTATATTTTATTTAATTAATTAATTTTATTTTTTTAGAGACAGAGTCTCTCTTTGTCGCCCTTGGTAGAGTGCAATGGCATCACAGTTCACAACAATCTCCAGCTCTTGGGCTTAGGTGATTCTCTTGCCTCAGCCTCCCGAGTAGCTGGGACTACAGGCACCCACCACAATGCCTGGCTATTTGGTTTTTTTTTGTTGTTGTTGCAGTTTGGCCGGGGCTGGGTTTGAACCCGCTATCCTCAGTATATGGGGCCGGCGCCCTGCTCACTGAGCTACAGGCACCGCCCCAAATATGTTTATTTTAATTAAGACAATAAAGGAGTCCTAAGTGTGTGGGTGAAGGGTATCTGGTTAGCTAGCAAACTCAACTGTGCTGTATGTCATACAGATGACTTTGGTATTGCTAAAAGTATATGAGCCGTCTGGCCCTTTCTGAAGGGAAGAGGGAAAAGTGACAAACTATCTTATCTTTCAGTGCTACCTCCATTTTCTTCCACTATTTCCTTTTTCCTCTTTGGTATTTTCATTTTCCTTTTAAAAAATTTCCTGCCATTTATCTTTCATGTTTTTCTCAAATGCAGTCCTTACTTCAGAATGACTGTAGAGTTTCTTCTACCTCTCATATATACACAAAACTTTAACTGGCTGCTTACTAATGTACACCATCTTTCATTGCCCATGAGAGATACTCATAACAATGGATTTCTCTTATGTTAAGGATTTTTAAATAGAAGTTTTAAGGTCAAGAGAATTTCACTACAATCAGTATAAGTTACATGAAGACGGGTTTGTGTGTGTGTGGTTTTCTTTGTTGTTGGTTGTTCTGTTGTTCTAGTCCTGGTGCCTACTACAAGGAAGGCATTCAATAAATACTGAATAAATGATTAAAATGTTAGCCTTACAAGGCCCACACTGGTGGCACAGGACTGTAATCCTAGCACTTCAGGAGGATTGCTTTAGGCCAGGAATTCCAGTCCAGCCTCAGGAACAACAAAAGAAAAAAAAAAAAGAAATAAGAAAAATTAGCTGGGCAGGGTGGCACATCCCTATAGTCCCAGCTGCTTAGGAGACTGGGTAAGGTAGGAGGATCATGTGAGCCCAGGAATTTGAGTTTGCAGTAAACTTTGATGATACTAACTTACTGTAGTCCATGCAGTAGTGCAAACTCTTGCCTCATAAGAAAAAATAAGAACATTAGTCTTAAGAAAATGATAATGTCATGTACTTAGAAATTATTTTAGCAAAGCATTCTTTTTTTTTTTTTTTTTTTTTGAGACAGAGCCTCAAGCTGTCACCCTAGGTAGAGTGCTGTGGTATCACAGCTCACGGCAGCCTCCAACTTCTGGGCTCAAGCGATTCTCTTGCCTCGGCCTCCCAAGTAGCTGGGACTACAGGCGCCCGCCACAATGCCCGGCTGTTTTTTGGTTGCAGCCATCATTGTTGTTTGATGGGCCCGGGCTGGATTCAGACCCTCTAGCTTAGGTGTATGTGGCTGGCGCCTTAGCCGCTTGAGCCACAGGCACTGAGCCAAGCAAAGCATTCTTAATACTTCTAGTGTAGAATAGCAATATGAGTTGAACAGTGATTCTCAAGAGGAAGGAAGCTTTTTTAGCGATTTTCCTCATTCTCTTCTCTCCTTTGCCTTCTTTTTCAAATATGAGAACTGCTGGAAGAGACTGAAATTAGTATACATAGTATTAAGGAAAGGGTAGTTGGCAGAGTGAGAGAGAGAAGGCAATTATAAATTTAATGGAGTAGGAGTATAATGTGAATTTGGACAAAATATCAATGCTATTAATATGTTAATTATATAATATTAAATATTAATTAGCTAGAGTGCCAAGGCTAATTGGAAGGACAGAGGAGGTGAGTTGACATAGGCAATGGGGAAATTGATTGGTAGAGTGCTCATATTTCATACTGTAGATATAGGAGGCCATTATGAATTATTGATGAAAGTGACATGATAAAAAAGTGAAGACAGTTATTTATTCTATTTAGCTCCTGTTTGTAAAATGGATTATAGCTTGAGGTGAAGAAACGTTGGAAATAGAACAAAATTGTGAGATTGTTGTAGTAGTTCAGAGTGGTTAAACTGTTTCACTCAGTATATTACCAGCAATGTCTTTATCTAGCAAATACCCTTCTTTTGAAGTTTTATCTACATTCTGACCTGGGGATAGAAGGAGGCAGGAGGAAGAGTTCCATACTAAAAAGTAATAGGCTGGCATCATAGTCCCTACTTCTTTACTGTGTAAATTCATGATTGTGGAGAAATATTAATTTCTCCTGGGCTTCAATTACTAAACTTTAAAATAAAGATAATGATCTGAATGCAAGGATCAAGGTCAGATCAATTTTGTGGGTTCTTTGCAGCCCACTATTCTTTTGTCAACTATAAATGGTGTCAACAATGAATACCACATATTGTTTCTGAGTATTAATTCCTGTAACTACGGTGTTTTAAGAAGAAAAAAGCATATGACATTAAATGTTCAAAATCTATAATTTATAGTTTAATGTTACCCGTGCTGACCATTATATATAAAAATATGTATTTCTGTTTTTATATGTGCTATGGTTATATAATTAGTTTTTTAGTTATTAGACTATAAATAGCAGTCTCAAGTTAATGGTACAAAACTTGAGTCTTGTGTACTTTTAGAGAAATGTGAAGTATGTAAAAATTGTTCTGAAATGTATATTGTCTTATAAAGCTACAGGTACAATAATGCCAATATTATTTAGAGTTGCTAGAAATTGTACTTTATACCCCTTTTTTGCTACTGAATACACTGTATGTATATACACTTGCATGTACTTTTTTTTTTTTAGAAAGTTTTAATATCAGTAGCTTTTTGTTTGGTTTTTTTTTGAGACAGAGTCTTAAGCTGTCGCCCTGGGTAGAGTGCAGTGGTGTCACAGCTCACAGCAACCTTAAACTCTTGGGCTTAAGGTAATTCTCTTGCCTCAGCCTCCCAAGTAGCTGGGACTACAGGTGCCAGCCACAATGCCTGGCTATTTTCTTTTTTTTGTTATTATTGTTGCAATTGTCATTGTTTTAGCTGGCCCTAGCTGGGTTCGAACCACCAGCCTTGGTATATGTGCTCAGCGCCCTGCTGACTGAGCTACAGGCACCACCATCCAGCAGCTTTTGGTTTTCTTTCTTTCTCTTTATTTTTCTATGTCTATGTCTTTGTTGTTATTTTCCCTTCTGTTTGGTTTTTTTTCCCCCACCCCCACTTTAATACATCTGGGAATATGAAAAGGCAGCTGCTATGGTAACTGCATTTTGGTTAATGAATAGCAGTCTAACAAGATACATAAAACATAATGCAAACTGTTCAGAGTTGGTTGCTGTCAAAGCCGTAGAGATATCATACTTTTACTCTTCCTTCTTGAGGAAGAAAAAAAATCTTTAGTCTGAAGTATTTTGTTTTCTAGCTTACTATTTCTAATATTATAATGTTACAGTGAACTCTATTCTTCTTTCTACTTAGTCTGTACCATATTCACCTGTGGCAAATTTATGGGAGATAAATTGAGGTACATAGAGGGAAAGAAATGATTAAGTGGATTAAGAAGTAGATTTCTGGGGTGGCACCTATGGCTCAAGGAGTAAGGCGCCAGCCCCATATACCAGAGATGGCGGGTTCAAACCTGGCCCTGGCCAAAAACTGCAAAAACAAAAAAAGAGAGAGATTAATTGGATTAAGAAGTAGCTTTCTGGGATGGTGCCTGTGGCTCAAGGAGTATGACGCCGGCCCCATATACTGGAGGTGGTGGGTTCAAACCTGGCACCGGCCAAAAAACTGCAAAAAAAAAAAAAGAAGAAGTAGATTTCCTTTAGACTTGTACATAGAAGAATAGGGACAAGAATTTGGCCTGAATATTTGCTTTTTGTGCTATAACTTCTTTATTACCCCTTGCTTTTTGGCCCCTAGTGCCCCTTTTACATTTCTTTCTGGATTAGAGCTAGTAAGTAGTATGTTTCTTGAAGATGTTTCTGTCATAAAGGCCAGCTGCAACTGGAATATTGCATTCTGCCAAGCCTTGAAAATTCCTGTAATCTGTGCCATCCTGTCTCATACTGTCCCATCTCATAGTTGTCCTCTCTCTGCAGTGCTCTATGCCCAGGTCTCTGTGGCTGGGCTGCTCCAGCCTGGCGGACAGCATGCCTTCGCTGCGATGCCTGTATAACCCAGGGACTGGCGCACTCACAGCTTTCCAGGTACTTTCTCTGTCTCTGTGGGTTATTTGCGGGCATTAGTTTGTGTGTCTAATTCATTAGTATGTCCCTACTTCTTTCCCAAGCTTTTCTTATATTCACCCTTCTCCTTCATATTGCCTGTATTTCACATCGCTTAATACCTTTAATGATTAATTGTTAATGTAGATCCAGAACAATCCACTCTTAAGACATTTTTATCATGATTGGTTTGCCAAAATTGACATAGCACAATTTGCCTGTTGGGTTTCATATCTAGTAGAAGTATGACAGCAATTTTAAAGTAATCTCAATAAATAAAAATTCTGTATGTAATGTTTTTTCTGGACCTACATAAAACTGATTAATGTAATTATAATCAATTGCCTGAGCATCTCTCTCTCTTTTTTTTAAACAGTTACTAAAAATATTAGTGCTCTTTTCAGAGTATCTCCTGGTTATTATACTACTCTGTGTATTTTTATTTAAACTGTTTTATTGATATCTTGATTAATGATTCCAGTTTCAAGGTGAAAAGGCCTTTGAAACCTTTGTTTACAATATTCAGCCTAAGACAGTCTCACTGTTGTTGCATAGCTTGATGGATTCTAGTTCTCTTCATTTTCTTAGAAAAAAATGGAAAATTGTAGAGGAAAATGTAAGAAAGAGCTTGGTGCTCATGGCTTACACATTAGGGTAATCTAATTTGTACTGTGTGATAGTTTTCTTGTCAGAGTGTTATCTGTCCAGCTCAGGTATTTGGAATTTGTGTTTAGCATTTTATACTAATACACAACAGGTTAGTTTTTTACATTCATTTTTAATCCATGTAGTTCATATTTTATATATAGAAGAATTTTGAAGATAAGCTGTAAGTAGCAGAATGCTTATAACTAAGCATTAGTTAAAAAAGGGGAACTTAAGTTGTCACATTCCTGACTTGTGCTAATAGTTGCTAGTCTTTAATGATACTATTTAGTAATGATAATGCAGGAGATTTTCATTTTTCTTTTACAAAATTTAATATTAAACTTTTATTTGCTTGTACTGTGATATACAATATATTGAAGCACGTAGCCTCTAGTCAAATCAAGTCTTAAATGTTGTCTTTGTCACTGATGGCATGATCTTGAGTAAATTGTTTCCTTGTGTGTAATGGGTACAGTAAAGGTGTGAGGTAATGGTTGCTGCTTTTATGATCATCGGTCTAAAAGCTATTGCTATTATTAGAGAATATTGATATCCAGAGAGTATCTATTTATTTTAAAGTGAAATTCTCATATGTTAACTATATGTCATATTGATAAAAGATCTTGCCCTTGAGGAACCATAGTGTAGCCCTGTGGTTCTCAACCTTCCTAATGCCATGACCCTTTAATACAGTTCCTCATGTTATGGTGACCCCCAACCATAAAATTATTTTCATTGCTACTTCATAACTGTAATTTTGCTACTATTATGAATCGTAATGTAAATATCTTATATGCAGGATGTATTTAGGTGACCCCTGTGAAAGGGTTGTTTGACCCCCAAAGGGGTTGCAACCCACAGGTTGAGAACCACTGGTCTAGCCTATTGGGGCCTATTTTTTTTTGAGGCAGATTCTCTAGTTCTCACTCTGTTGCCTGGGTTAGAGTGCATGGCTTCAACCTAGCTCACAGAAACCTCAAAATCCCGAGCTCAAGCTATCTTTGTGCTTTAGCCTCCCATGTAGTTGGGACTATAGGTGTGTGCCACCATGTTTAGCTAATTTTTCTGTTTTTAGTAGAGAGAGGGTCTCACTCTTGCTCAGATTGGTCTCCAGTTCCTGACCTCAAGTGATTTTCCCATCTCTGCCTTCCAGAGTGCTAGGATTACAGGTGGAAACTGCCACACTCGGCCTTACCTATTGGCTTTTTAACTTTTTGTTTTTTGGTTGCAATGAATTTAGCCAATCAGCAAAGTCTGAGGAATAGTAATTTCCATACTTAAGAAACCAATTGCAAATTTAGGAACCTCCATGACCACTCACAGGTTTAATAATTTGTTGGAAAGGATTCAGAACTCACTAAAAGCAATTATACCACAGTTTATTACAGGGAAAGGGTAAAGGTTAAAAATGGCCAAAAGAAGAGACACATAGAGCAAAATCTGGGAGGAGTCCAACTGTAGAACTTCCTATCATCCTCCCTCCATGAAATTAGGGATGGTATTACAGCCCTTTCAGCCACAGTGTATGAAAAAGCATTAACAACCATGAAACTCACCCCAGCCTTTGGTGTGTAGAGATTTCACTGGAGCTCAATCATACTGCCCACATGGCTGACTTGAGTCTACAGCCCTTTCTGTAGGTCACACTAATGCCTTTGGTCTCTGTTTATTCCTGCTCTTGGAACTGATAAGGTATGCTTAACACCTCTAACATGAATCACATTTGTCCAGTACTAAAGCTATCAGGTAAGGTGGTCCAGGGACCTACAGACAACCTCCTACTAGCACAGAGCAAAGACTAGAGCTCTTTTTGGAGGTTGATTCTTCACCATACAGAGGTCATGCACCTCTTTGAGAACCTGATGAGAATTATTGCTCTTGGATATATAAAATTTTATTTGATAGCTACACACAGTAGAGCCTCCATAGTTGACTACCTCCCCGCATGACCATCTTCTTAAGTGAGCCTAATTTTTTTTTTTTTTTTGAGACAGAGCCTCAAGCTGTCCCCCTGGGTAGAGCGCTGTGGCATCACAGCTCACAGCAACCTCCAACTCCTGGGCTAAAGTGATTCTCCTGCCTCCACCTCCCAAGTAGCTGAGACCACAGGTGCCCGCTACAACGCCTGGCTATTTTTTGGTTGCAGCTGTCAATTGTTGTTTGGCGGGCCCAGGCTGGATTCGAACCCGCCACCCTAGGTGTATGTGGCTGGTGCCTTAGCCACTTGAGTCACAGGCGCTGAGCCCTAATTTTTTTTTTTAATTTTGACAGAGCCTCAAGCTGTTGCCCTGGGTAGAGTGCTGTGGCATCACAGCTCACAGCAGTCTCCAACTCCTAGGCTTAAGTGATTCTCTTACCTCAGCTTCCCAAGTAGCTGGGACTATAGGTGACCACCATGACACCCGGCTATTTTGTTGTTGTTGTTGTCATTGTTGTTTAGCAGGCCCTAGCCAGGTCCAAACCCACCAGCCCCAGTCCATGTGGCTGGTGCCCTAACCACTGAGCTATGGGTGCCAAGCCAAACAAATTTTTGTTTGTCCTAAAGTGATTTTGAGTCTTTAGGCCAGTGGTTCTCAACTTGTGGGTCATGACCTACAGGAACTGTATTAAAGGGCTGTGGCATTAGGAAGGTTGAGAACCACTGCTTTAGGCCAAATGAAGATCAATAGGAAAGATTGTGAGTGAATTCACCATCACTATCAGGTTTTCTTTATCTGGGCCTAATCAAAACAAATAGTGATTTTAAAAAGTTATCCCCTCATAAGTTATTACCTCTGGAGAATTTTTGGAGAAAGATTGGTTTAGAAATTTTGCTGGAAGATTTTGCAGGAATAAATCAGATGTGGGGGCCTGAATTTTGTTGTAGGAGTGAAATTGCATGGCATAGGTGGAAACAAGATGCTTAAGAAAACATCTTAGAAAAGAAGCCCTAAACGTCAATGTATGGTGTGATTAAGAGCATGGACCTTGATGTCCGATTGCTTGGGATTTGAGCCTGGTTCTGTTATTTTCTAGCTAAGACCCATTATGTAAGCACTTGACCTGTTTATGTACTTCAAGTTCCTTATCAGTAAAATGGGGATGATAGATAATAGTATCTATCTTTATAGGGTTAATGTTAAAATTAAATGAGTTGATTTCTGTTAAGTCCTTGTAACACTGTCTAGCAGATTGAGTTTTATATTATTAGCAAAAAAAATGCATGGAGGGGTCTGGTGTAATGGCTCACCCCTGTAATTTAGAAGTCTGGGAGGCAGAGCTGAGAGGATCACTTCACCCAGGGGTTAGAGACCAGCCTAAACAAAAGTAGTAACCCTGTCTCCACAAAAAAAATAGAAAAAATTAGCTGATTGTGGTGGTATGCATCTGTAGTCCCAGATACTTGGGAGGCTGAGACAGGAGAATTACTTGAGCCTAGGAGTTTGAGCTTGCAGTGAGCTATAATAATGCCACTGCACTTTAGTTGCAACTCTCTCTCTAAACAAAACAAAATGTGGCTCGGCGCC